ATGATTTATGTGTGAGTAATAGTAAACATGTCGGTTTAGTTCAATTTAAAATAAGATTACATGTTGAAACATAAGCTTTTAGTACTTTTATAACTAGTGGATTTAAAAACATGAAAGTTTCGGTAGGGCAGTGCCATAGCTGAGGAGACCATATTGTTCGCGGTGAAGACCTGGAGCGGCTTCCACGCGACCAGGGTCAGCGTGGTCAAGAAGACCTGGGGGAAATATGTCACCAATCTATACTTCTTTAGTGATAAAGCAGGTGACCGATTAAATTTACTCTATTTTTATTAAAGAGTATTCTTTTGTTTCTTTTTATTTATCTTTTACGTTTTTCCAGATCCTTCCATCCCGACCATAGATATAGGCGTGCCCAACACCAAGACTGGACATTGCGCGAAGACAATGGCCATATTAAATCGTGTTGTCGAAATGATCGAAGACATGCCAAACATTCAGTGGATTTTCTTAGCAGATGATGATACTATTTTAGGGTAAGTGTTTGTCCCCGTTATTTCAGCCAATACACATACGCGTAATTTACGTATGTACAGTCGAGGTATCTTGCAGTGTTTTAGTTAAAAGTTATAGTCGTTTGAACATTTGTCTCATAGACACGATGTGTTACAATAACCAATAGGATATCTTTTAAATGTGTATGTACGAATAACCGTTTGGTTAGTTGTACACAGGTAATTTATTTATTATTTTAGTCGTTCGCACAAGTCACTGTTATTTAATTTGTTAGGTATGTCGAAGTTTGTTTCACAAGGAACAAGGTGAATTGTCTAATTTTAAATCCTTAAAAAATAAGACAATATTGTTAGACTAGCTGTCGTTCGCGAATTCGTTGACGTGAAATGTAATAATATAGCCTATGTTATATATAGATAACGTAACTTTCTAATGGTAAAAAAAAATTATATCGGCTTAGTAGTTTTTGAGTTATTCAATACATACAAAAATACAAATCTTATACTATTAGTATACATAACACATTCCCGCAACCAGTTACGTGGTTAGTAGGCAATAGATTAAGTACAGCGCGTATTTCCCCGAGTGTACCTAGCCTGCGCTATGCGCTACGTGTGCAGCGTGCAGCGCGTGTGCGAGCTGCTGAGCTGCTACGGCGGCGCGGCGCGCACGCTGCTGGGCGAGCGCTACGGCTACGGCTACACCAACACGGGGAACGCCGCCAAAGGTGACTGGATCACTTGATTGTGTATATACTCGTAAAAAGACGAGATATTCCTGTGCCGCTTCATCCGCATTAAAATATTAAAACGTTATTTTATTGTTTAAAGTGATATTTTCATTGCAAATGGCAATTGCACAAATGACTACCGAGGCCTTTGACATTGGATAACAATTAATTCGTTGATATCAGCATGTAGTTTATAGTGCCTTTCCCACATGAAGGTTTTTCCAATTTATTTCCCTCTCCAAGTTTAATAGCGTGTATATATAAAGTGTATAAATCAAAGCGTGTCGTCAGTGTAGGGTTTTTTTAAAAGAAAGGTTTTTTCAAAAATGTTGTGAAAACAACCTACGTCACGCTTGTGTTTACGCTTTATTATATCGGTGTAGACATGTTTATGTGTCTGCTAGGTTATGATTACATAACTGGCGGGGGCGGCACGGTGCTGAGTGCGGGCGCGGCGCGCGCGCTGCGCTCCTGCGCCTGCGCCGCGCCCGCCGCGCCCGACGACATGACGCTCGGCGCCTGCGCCAAGCGCCGGAACATCACTCTCACGCACTCGCCGCTCTTCCATCAGGTATATCACTACTTCCCTCCATTTCAATCGTTAAACCCCCATAGATATTGTCAAGTTCAAACACTTATTACTAAAATACCTTTTTGTTTATTTTCATATATGAAAAGTCAACTATGATTCGTGAAAGTCTATTTCTATCTAGTAATATTTTATTTGTTTAAGACAGATTTAGGCGTTTTATTGTTGAAAAAATAGACTTGTCAATCATTGTAGCCAGTTTTTGGTTTCGGACTTTCGTATCTACTAATATACGCTTGATTGACTAGACG